AAGGTGCGTCCTCCACGATTGATTCGAACTCTGACTTGCTCAACTTATTGCACGTTTTATTTATTCTTTGAGTTGTCATAATTCCATCTCGTCATTCCTGAATGTAAATAATAGAATTGTCACAGAGAATTTTGAACTCAGATTCGGCGGACTCCCAAAAATTCCTATGAACGTAATGTTTGGATCAACGAATTGATCACTACTCTTGTCGCAGGTTGTACATACCAATATAATTTAATAAACACTTCAAAACATGTTTACAAAAAAAACTCATTATTCTTTGTATAATGTGACATTATTATACAGTATATACAGTATGTAGATTGATGCAATGTGTATATAAGATACTTTATTTGTTAAGTTTGCCAATCCGTGTTTTTGATTTCAATAAAATTATTTTATTATTGTTGTTGTTGTTATGGTATCCCTTCAGGTGGCAGTGCAATATTTTGTTTTTCATATCAAAATAACAATAATAAAAAAATTATTGTTGTTATTTCAAGTGTTGATGTATTCTGTATTTTGACCACTATCGAGTAAGTCTCGTTATCACCGAGACTACCACAGTTGTAACCTAAATGAAAGGGAAAAAAAAAAAAAAAAAGTTGTACAATCCCGTCGCAGAAATCGATTCTTGCTTGGGATCACGCGTCATTTTTAATGTGTTCAAGAAGAAATGTCTAATTTTCATTTTTATTGGTTTCAGTAATTTTACTGCAAATATGGAATGTGATTTTTTTTTCTCGTTGTATGAAACGAAAGTGAAGTATCGAGTGTACGCAAAGCAGATGATAGATGTCATGTATGACAACGAAATATACTGTATATACACGGTTCACCCGCCCACTGATGCTCCGCAGTATCACTTGGGACAAGGTATGTCAAACATTTGACACAATCTTATCCTCTCAAATCGAAAGGAACAATTAAAGTGCACGCTATTTCTTGCGGCTCTCGTGATACAATCACCGCAGAAATGCCTGTCTTTACACCAAGTACACTTTATCCAAAATTTGTCCCAATACTTGTATTTTATGCCACAGTCGGCACACGACAAGGTGCAAGATTCACATGTTGGATCCGTGCAAGGTCGAAATTGAAAGATCCCATCATTGGTATCATCGTCCACGGAATCGTTTGATACGTTGGCGGAGAAGGAGGATGTCGCGAACAATATGGATGAAATGGTGTTTGCGCCATTGGCAGAACATGATTCGCGTGCATTCGAGTTTAACTCATGAAATCTCTTACTAATGCCATCATCATTCTTCTTTCTCTGATGATCCTTCATCCGTCCCAAGTCCTCCAATATTTTCTTGATAGACAATGAATGCCGTTTGCCACCAATACATCTGGTCATCACAATCTTTTTCAGCTTCCCCATTCTTCTCTTTTTTCCAAGGGCGTCTCCTTCGTTCATCGCCTCACAATCGTCATACCAACCTACCATGGCGTGTGTAATCGGTAGTAAACTTATGTCCTTGCATCCCAGGATATACAGGTATTGAATGTTTTCACAATCTCGAAGGACCCTTATTACGGCTTCCGAAGTGATCTTTGAATTATCAAAGGTGAGCCTGTGGATGAGAGAAAGTTTTTGCGTTGATCGAAGGTAGGCAAACAGATTGTTGAATTGTTGTTGGGTGATCGACGGTGGAAGGGATACATGAGAGAACAGGATTGTGTCGGGGAAAGACAAATAAATAGATCTGCACGTCAAGCGAAGAGACAAGGTGGAAATGAAATCCAATTCTTTACATATTATATACAGGACGTCAATTGAAAGAGAGTTAAGGGTGTGCCTTGATGAGTTGAGGTGGTTTGATAGTAACGCACGATACATCTTATCAGTCGGTAAGAGAAGAAAAGAATTAAAAAATGGAAAACCAGTAATTCTATACCCTTCTCTGATTTCTCAGAGGGTTTTTTCTTTTTTTTTTTTCCTTTTTCTCCTTTCTTTTAAAGCTTTTAAAACGACCTTTTATTTCTATTTTTATTATTTATTGTTGTTTAAAGTGCTGGCGTTTCCCTTGTCATCTAAAAATTTCACAAACTTTTATGGAAGGAAGTGAACACCAAGATTTTTTTATTTGATTTTCGTTGTGGGGAGATGTCAAATATACGACGTCAATTTTCCTGATCATTTTGTTTACCCTGTGTATCTATTTATATATTCACGATAATACATTAGACTCTCCGATACGTACATATGTATGCACTTCCCTTTGCAACTTGAAATTGTCAGAAGATCCAATGAACTTGCGGCCAGGATGCGGAGGCAAACAAACCTGCATGCATAAATGACTAACCAGCCGGTCACGAATTTTCTCTCATTCGTGTGTGCGTGCGAACCCATTTTTTTGTGGTCGCATTTCTAGAGCTTAAAAAAAAAGAAGGGGAGACTACGCATCCGTGAATCGGAAATCTCGGAGAACTCGATTTCGATGTTCAGAAAAAAAAAAAAAAAAAGGTTGATTTAGACCATTTGCATGGATTTGATAAACGATCAAACGAACGATTGGTGTTGCTTTGAAGTCAGAAAAATTTAGTGCGCATCATCATCCACCTAAATCACAATTTAACCAATTCCTTTTACTCGGTTACACACTGTAGTGTGTGCACAAATGATTGCACGTTTCCACATCGATGTGTTCATCACCAAAAATAGCTTGGCAATTTGCAACAATCGATGAATAATAGTTAAGTTTCATAATAGGCTCGGGATTTACCTGCGAACTTCAAACCCTGTAATTTTTAATTGTCAGCTTAATCAATTTTGATCATTCTTATATTAAGCTCACTAGATCCTCAACTTTAGATAACAGATGTGCAACTAATCTAATTAAATTGTTATTCGAAAATTCAGAAAACTGATTACATAACCAATAAATTTTAATAATCTCTTCGCAAGGACATCGAGTGACGACACACATTTTGTCAACGATTTCCTTGCAATGATTGTTACACGGATATGGTAGGTGCTCGGTTATCAAGTGTTGTTGTATGCTGGATTCCATTAAGCACATGATCGCGATTAACCTTGTGTGCAACGTTTTTAGAAATGTTAAAAGATCTTCACACGACTCGTGAAGGTAAAAAAAACCACTATCCCGCGGGGTTCGCTCGGATACTACGACACACGGAAATTTTGATGCACCGCATTTATTAATTATTTATGATTACTAACCTTTAAATGAATCTTTGGTATGAATGTCCGCGCAGCCTCCCATGTCCTCGCGAACTTAATGTTCGGTCGATTTATGATTTATTGAAAGCGGCAAGATGAAATACGTACCGCACACCCTTATAACCGTCGAGATCATGTGATCTCTCTGATTGGTGCAGGTCCGTCCTTATTAATTCGGCAATCACCGGAAAGATTAAGAGAGGCATCACCCTCGAACATTTAATATTACCAATTAGAACATTATATCACGTGACATTAATAGCGATTGCTCACCGAGTTATGCGCGCGAGTGTATTAAAGGCATTCATTTACGCAGGTTCGATAACATGTAAATGAAATGAGCTTCTGTAAAAAGCTATTGGTCTTAGAATATATGTATTATTCCTGTCTTATCTGTACATACGGTATGTGCGCTGTTTCATCGGAAATCGTTATACATATTGGGCTGTGACGTCAAACGACGATATGCATTGTACGCATGCACGCAATGTACTTATAAATTCTTTGCCGAAAGAATCCAGGTTGGAGGTTACATTTCATTTTTGATATGTTCTTTACGGCCGTAGAAATTTCAGAGATCGAGTGCTCCAACGATGATTGTGCATGAGATGCGATGTCTCTTAAAACTCAACTCCTTTCTATGACAATAGCATGCGGAATCATCCGGTGCAGATTAATTATTCTTCAATTGGGGAACAAGATTAAGAAGCCTACCTTTTTGTATCAAGAGGTGCAGTACACACTAGATATGAGAAATCATAAAAAAACGTCTATCCCGCTTATCTTTGGCTTGGCGAAATAATCTAATCAACTGAGTATATTGTGAAAATAGAAGTTCTACTTAGTCGTATAGAAGTCACGAATTAACCAATCCTCACGGTCCATTGGACACTCCTGTTCCCTCTTTCCTTTCATTTCAATAGCAATAATACTAAGAATCAAAATCCATTGGCGATAATGTGTTACAAATGTAATGTCGTACGTAGTACGGAAACTTTTCGCGCAATAGAAATGAGTTTAAATGATACCGTGCGGACTGCACAGTACTTGTTTAAAATTAATATCCTTACCAGAATAATATATGACTCCCCGGTGCTAGCAAACCATTGAATCGATTAGGTCAGGTGACGGGTGAAAATCGAAGTCAATCGTTTATGGATCAATGAAATCAATACATCGATCAATAAAAGCTTTCCCTTGATAGGTGTATCATATCGCTATGGAATCCTCAGAATCGGTAATAAAACGCCAGACGAAATTTCTGATTCACAACTTAATATAGAATCATGAGTCTTGCAAAGCGAAATCCCTCTCTCTTTTTTTTACCATGCATATTGTACCTGAATAAATTTGTATAGCGCTGAAAGAAGGTTGTTTTTTGTAACAAAAGATCGTAAATAGGAAATTAATTGATTTGAATCAAATAACAATAAATACAATATGACAGTATACAGTATGTAATATACTAAATGCCAATAAAGAAAAGGATTTCGTTAATAATAATTGAACAAATGTGATGAAAACTTTGTCTATCAAAATCCATGAGTGAAAATACAATAAGTTATATGTTTATTGGTTAAGTTACATCAAGAAATTTTACTTATTTAGAAAAAAATGCAAATGTAAGCTATAATATAAATTTGACTTAACATTTAACCGAAATTATTTTATCAATTATAACTTTTCTTTTTTTTTATCACTATTATGTCATCTTGGCATGTCTTTATTGAGATATTAAATAAGCATCACAATGTTATATGAACTTTTACATAATAATCAATTCATCTTTGTACATTATTAATTGAAGAACTATACTACTTAAAAAATGAGAAATTCACTAAGCTAGTTTAAACTAAACAAAACTAAGTTACAACTAGATACTCTAAGTCAAATTTAAAGAGCAATATTTTATTTTTTCTAGTAGTTTAATACTTGATCTTCAATTAATAAAATTATTATCAATATTTTATTATTGTTAATTATCCTAAAAAACAATGAATTGCTAAAGTAATTGAAGATAAAAAAAGGTTTTTTAAAAAAATTCTTAATTTATTTCAACAACCTCTTAAAAGAAATTTGTTTAATTAAATATTTCTTAGTTTATAATATTTAGAAAACTCATTTATTTTTAAATAGAGAGACTTCAAGAGAAATATTTAAAGACTTATTTCTCTACTGATATATAAATTTACTTATTGTATCATTAATATTAACATTATATTATAAAAGAATTTATCTAATCAAAATAAAAAAACTTTTTTAGAAACTTTGTTAAATTAAAATAAAAACTTAAAAACTTCTTTATCACTTGAAAAACTTATTAAAAAATAAAAATACTATGTTATATAATATATCTGTCACTTATCTCTTGGTATTATAATTATTTTCTTGAAAAATTTCATTAATTATAAAAATATATCTTTATAGTTTTTTTTAATTATTAATAATATTATTAAAGTATATAAGTATAAAACTCTTTCCGCTGATCCTAAATTTCCTAAAAAATTTCCTTTTTTGGCAATTTTCTTGGAAAAACCAGAAGCCA